GCTTATTAACAATAAAAAATAGTATGACCCCTATAAGTAATAAATTATGTATAAATGTGAAAGAGAAACAGCCAACCCTAAATAAGTTATCTTTCTTCACAGAAAATTATATATTTAAGTGCGTATAAAAAAAACTTAAATACACATAGATATTCAGTTTGACCGTTAAAATGGCCTCATCTTGAGTTAATTTTTTTTCTTGTGATTTACAGTGATGTCCCCCTGTAGAAGGCCTGAAAGCCACTCGAGGTAAAGCGTTACAATTATCGATACTTTATACGGATAAGATAAAAAAGATAAGGTTTAACCCTTGACTCGAACAAGTTAAGATTGTAATGATTAGGGAAACATCATTTTGGGAGTCTGTTCCACAGGTTCTACAGTTGTTTGGGGGGGGGGAAGAAGCTGCTCGAGTGGAACCTAAAACTCACCAATGGAATACGGAGGGAGTGTGGGTGGTTTGCTGCAATGTCAGTGGCATGACGGGAATGTTGAAATTGATTCCACTCAGTAAATCATACTTAAATTTATAGGTGAGAGCGCCTAATCTCGTGTGTTCATCAGCTTTGAACACGGCCAGTATACTCAAACTATTGGTCAAAATGACTTGCGAATTCGAGCAAGGGCGAGCATTAACAGTTTCTGAAAATTTCCATCTATCCTGTTTCACATGCAAAATTTGTGGTCAACTTGCGATATGGTTTTTAGGCGTTTCCCAACAATACTGAACGCTGGCATCGTCTCCCCAGGTTGTCGAGAAGTTGTCTCCCTTTCAAAACAAAAATGGTAGAATGCGAACGGTGCTCTTGTGGTCATAACTTTAACACTGAATGCATAACACACACACACAGCGACTATTAATTACGAAACACAAGGAATAATTAGATGTTTATTTTAATATAGTTTCTCTTGTTCTCGGACTGAATGGTTGAGTCAAGTATACGGGAATTGTATATATGTTTTCTTTGATGCTATCGATCATTCGAGATCTTCGAGAAGAAAAAGGTGTTTTCCGGAAAAGATGAAATACTGAAATCATATATCATCATATCACCTGGAACTGGCGAAGAAAATCAATGGAAACTTCTATAAAGTTTTGAACGAATTATTTGCTTCCTTATACAAAAATATGAAATGAACATCATAGAAAAAGAAAATGCTAACTAAATCACACGCACACACACACAGAAACACGCGAGCACACGCACACACACACACACACATATATATATATATATGAAGGTTAATGGGCTGAATCAAACCAGGTAACAGTAGTAAGTAAATATGAACTATTTTAGGTTGACTTATGTACTGTGTGTAATTATAAATAAAATGCTGCCTACATCATATATAATACATGACCGTGAGAGAGAGCAACACAAAACACACACACACACACACACACACACATACATATATATATATATATATATATATATATATATATATATATATATATATATATATATAGATATAAATATATATATATATATATATATATATATATATATATATATATATATATCCTGAAGTTTGCGTTTAAAACATGAAACAGACTGGGTTGTGATCTCAATATCCACATATATATATATATTTATATATATATATATATATACAAATATATATATATATATATATATATATATATATATATATATATATATATATATATATTTATTTATGTATGTGTGTATGTTTGTGCGTGTATGTTTGTGTATGTGTGGGTTTGTGTGTCTGTTTGTGTGTGCTCATTTTCGTATCAAAACGTCAATAATTTCAGACCGGTAGACGAAATTAAATAAAGTGTTTAATAAATAAATGGAGGTACAATCAATCATGAGTATCCGTTATAAATAGCGTTTAATATATATATATATATATATATATATATATATATATATATATATATATATGCAATATCAGTTCCTTGATTTGATTTATATATATATATATATATATATATATATATATATATATATATATAGAGAGAGAGAGAGAGAGAGAGAGAGAGAGAGAGAAACAGACAGACAAAAGTTTGATACGCAGAACTTGTAAATATTTTTGAACAGACGAAACCACATTTTTTTACTTTTTCGGCAAATACATCATTCGAAAAAAAGTTAACTTTAAGGGAAAGAAATGTGGTTTGTCTGCTCTGCTCAAATATATATATATATATATATATATATATATATATATATATATATAGATAGATAGATAGATAGATAGATAGATAGATAGATAAAAATAATACCATCTCTGTTCATATTGCTGATGGTTCTTCCTTGAAACTTAATTCTACTAGTTTATTGAATAAAATGAATTTTCTTATCATTTTGTGGAAATTACATATTGAACTAAAGATTCATTTTCAATTTTCAGAAACAAAAGTAGTGTTTTATAAATCATATAACCTTGAATTACCTTTCTCTGTTTCGTAAAAGATTTAAGGTAAAATCGTTTGACATTGTTTCTTGTGAAAATAGCTTGACCCGTCTGCAGCTTAAATCAACTCCAAGCAATTTTCTCTTTGACAACAATGTCGCATCACCTTTTTTCTCAGAAGGACACCGGCTTTGATCGTTCCTCTAAGCTCATTGTGGAATCTAGATTTATCAGTCGTCGGTACATATCTTAATTGCACCAAATCATTCTCTTGATTTTTATGACAAGTGAAGTTTGTTTTTATTTTCCATTCACTTTCAGTTGTTCAGCCGAAAATATTTCATAAATTTATTAAAATACGGCTTTTTGAAGTGGGTCGGTTCGAGATCTTAACAGCACTCTTCATGTGGTCCCCAAAGTACATCAATCAATGGATATCTATCAAGGGAACGAGAATATACTAAGTTTGAAAAAAAAAAAAAATTAGATTTAGAAAACCCTTTCTGTAATTTATCAGCTTGGAAAATTGTTTCTTGTCTTTTTCGGAATAAATTAAAAAACATTTAAACCTCAAACCTGTGGGATATCACTTTCGCACACAAGAAAATAATTGTTTGGTCATTGGCGGTCATCAATACCCAGTAAATCTTTCATGAGAAAATTTGAGCTAATTAATATCCTGTTACTGCCCAATGAATAGCTGCAAAAAACAGGGGACAGTTATTTGCTTACACAATTGATAGATATGAAAAGTACAGCCTGTGATATTTATCAATTTCTTCTTGAATACTACTGACAGTAAATAGGATATCCTTAAATCTGAAGTTGTTTCTAATACAAAACATATCTTGGCCCACTCGACTAGTAATAAGTTACTCACTGAAAGCAAGTCACTTCAGCTCAAGCCGTGTAAAAATTAGAGAGACTGTGTGCGCCAATTCCTTAAATGGTAATCTGTCTAATTGGTTAATTAAGATTAGAAACAGGTGCGGTTTCTTCGATTCAAACATTGACTATTAGCTGTGATGTGACATATGCGAGTTTGTAAGTATGGTTTCATATTTATATATATATATATATATATATATATATATATATATATATATATATATATATATATATATATTCAGATATCAAAAAAATTGGTAAATAGAAATGACAAAGTGGAAAAAAATTTTCTTGTGACGCGTTTCGTCTTTTTGAGTCCTAAAGGAAAAAGGCCACACGAAACCTTTTTCCAATTTGTCATATTTTTTCATATATATATATATATATATATATATATATATATATATATATATATATATATATATATATATATATATATATAATATATTATATATATAGTTAGTAGGATGTAGAATAGTACCCGAAAAAAAAGTGGCGAGATAACTGGACAAAGTGGAAAGGCCTTTTTAAATGACAGCGCATTTCGCCAACGGGTGTTATGTCTGACGTCTTCACGTCGGAATGAAAGACAAAACTGTGTGTAAGGAAAATGTGATGAGATTTTTTAGTTCAAGAGGAGCAAATAAATGAAATTACCTCATCGGATCCAACAGCCAGAGACCAGGAATTCTTTTTTATTGTTATTGGAGCCGTTTATATCTGTTGCAATTTAAAGTAGCCCTCCTTTTACCCTGCTGATCAGACTGGCATTTATTATGTCGACATTTTGGTCAAATGTATTACACTGAACTGTCATTGCATTTAAAGATTTCTTATACAGCATATCTCTGCGATATTCATATAGTCTTCTTTGTTGAGAATTTTGAAAGTTTCTTCGATGTAGAGCAATGGAAAATTTGTACAATATAATTTGTATATTCCTGCCTCTGTTCTGTTGTTGTGGCTATCTCGCTTGATTCTAATTCTATTTCAAATTGTTTTTGATGTGGTATTGATAGATTTAAGATTTAAGTTGAATAAATTATTTTCGATGGTGGCTATTATGAAATTCTTAGGTGGGATCATGGGACTACTTTTGATTTAGTTGTCGGCATTATTATTATCTGTAGATTTTTGTATTATTCTTCTGTGGAGTTTTGAGTTTAGCATTGTACAAGAAAATATTGGGTATTTGAAATCTAATCGGAATGGGCAAATTAAGAATTCAATATACACCAAAGACTCTCATACAAAAAAAATAGAGAAATACTTGCTGATCTCTATTCGTCGGATCTGATGTAATTGCATTTATTGCCCCTCTTATCCTCAAATATTCCAACGAATTTTCCCTACACACAGGTTTGTCTTTTCATTCCGACGTGAAGACATCAAACTTAACACACATTAGCAAAATGCGCTCTTTGTTTGTCCAATTATATATATATATATATATATATATATATATATATATATATATATATATATATATATATAATATCTATTAAGTGATTTTGTACCTTCATTGGTTCGAACAAATGTTTATACTGAGAGGTGCATTTTTACACTTTATATTATATATATATATATATATATATATATATATATATATATATGTGCGTGTGTGTTTGTGTCTGTGTCTCTGTGTGTGTATTGGTTGAGACATATTTCATGTGAAATCGTGTACCTGTGTGTTTGCCTGCATCGGATATAGCTAGCTATCTAGTTAGCTAGCTAGCTAGATAGATAGATATATAGCGGGAGAGAGAAAGAGACGGAAGAAAAGGAAAGATAGAAATCAAGCAGGAAAGGAAATACGGGAGCCTGGTTATAAGAATAACGAGCCAAAACTTATAGGGATAGATAGATAGATAGATAGATAGATAGATAGATAGATAATGAAACGACAGATAGATAGATAGATAGATAGATAGATAGATAGATAGTGAAGATCTACCATATATGCGTGTAACTGTGTATGCAGACAGGTATGTCGGTCAGATCTCCCATCTTTATTAATTTATTAAGATTTAATTATGATTTCATAGGACATGTTATATCCTAAAATTTTACCTTTTTTACCCAATTAGAATTTGTGCAACGGCCACTTAATAAGAAAAAAATATCGAAGACACCTTACGAAAAAAATGAAGTGAAATAATTTAACATGAAATAAATGATCATTCTGATGTCATTGTTGGATTGGGGGAGGGGTTGTCTTCTTTTCTTTGATTTAATGATTGGATTTTTGTCTTTTATTTCCCCCATCTTCAACATGTTATGGGAGGTATCGTATTGGTGAAAAGTTCAGCTAGACTACTGCCTGCCGATGTATCGGGATCCGACAGAGAACCGCTGCCGGTCTGATGATGAAGATCTGAGAGCGACGGCGCCGAACTGAGTTCCGACAATGTCGGTGACTTGCTCCGGTGTCCGGCCCCTCCCATGCTCCCCATATCCGAAGCTGGCATTGATTGCGAGTCACAGATCTGCTCCATGACGGCCGCTTGGTGGCGTTGCAACTGCTGCTGTTGCTTGGGTACCTTTTCCTCCTCCTGCTTCAGGAGATTGCGTCTGTATTTGGCCCGAGCGTTCTGGAACCAAACCTGCAAGAAATTCAAGAAAAATGACATATTGGTTTCATGTCGTATAATCTTTAGGTTGTATTATTAAAGGCATACACACAAACACAAATTCATATATATATATATATATATATATATATATATATATATATATATATATATATATATATATATATATATTCAGCTGGTGAATACCAACCAGATCGATGAAATAATTATTCATTCCAAGTTTATTTTATGAAAAAAAAAAAAGAAAGAAAGAAAAGAAACATTATTCAGTTATCTTCTATCGGCGTCTTTATTTATACCTCAGGAGTAATCATTAAATACCTTCGTGAAGAAATCTTCACACAAAAAATTGTAAATGCACACACACACACACACACATATATATATATATATATATATATATATATATATATATATATATATATATATATATATATATATATATATATATATATATATATAGTATAACAAGGTACTGCGATTAAGCTTTCTATTTAATTGGTATTTTAATTCGTTCGTATGTGTTTTCTTTTCTGGACATAAAATGTGTAAAAATTGTCCAAATATCCTATATATCCAAGCACTTTCGGCTATTCCTTTAGTCACTGCCAGGGATATGTTTAACTTTTATTTTTAACTGAATGTATCCATAGATATGGGTACTTTTTCGAAATACGGTCAGCACATTGTGGCCGTCTTTATAGTTTATGTCATTGAATGTTGTCATTTTCTTTTTTTATTATTAGAGCTTCCGTTACGTTTAGCCTTTTTTTTATATGTGGATGAGGTTGTTATACTTGTATTTTCTACAAGTATCTTGTGGGTAGAGATTGATAGGTTTCCGTGTCTGTTTAAATGAATTCTAATAAAGATAAGTGACATAAGGTCATTCATATGTATATATATATATATATATATATATATATATATATATATATATATATATATATATATATATGACAAATAAGTTGAAAATACAACTGAGACTTTAAGAATTGATTCCTACTTTCATCATTAGAGACTGGAGCTACATTCCGAAACAAAGAACTGTACCAAATAACAGGAAGCATATCACTTGTGGACTACCAACAGCAGTAACAACTAAAATAGATCTCACATTTAACTCGAAGCGATAATCATAATGACATAATCAAGATATTAACATTCACCCCCCAACTACAAATAAAAGTGTAAGGAAGGAAACCTCCGTCAATAATGGTAAGAGCGATAAAAGCTAATCGACTTCATAAACCTGTTTTCCGGAAATGTTATTTCGAGAGAAAGATTTTATAAATTTCAACTAAAATCAGCATTAGCTGCTGGTCAATGAATGCCAAATGTTTCCTTGTAGGGAAACGGCTAAAATTGCCATTACCAATGTCGGACTCTTAAACTGTTTAACTCAATATTGCATGACATCAATTTTCTTTTACAGAAATGGTTAGCTAAAACTTAATATCTGCCAGACCGAAGATTACCATTTGAAGGTAGATTTAGCAAAAAGAGCAAAAACTTTAAGGAAATTGTACGCAGTAATGTTTTAATTTCCTTATTATTATTATTATTATCATTATTGTTATTATGATTATTATTATCGAATATAGGATAAAAGCCTTCAGGGAAAAGAAAGTTCCTCTGGTCTGAAGTCGGCTAGTAAATTGCTTTAAAAAAAAATCACGCAACCTTCAATGTTTAGGCGATACATCGAAATCCATAGCGCATCCCCAAACTTTAAATATATAGTGTAAGTAAATTGTTCTCGGTAATGAATTTTTTAACAACCACGTTACAGTAGCCACCCTAGAAATAAAACTACCTTTAACATCAAATGAACATGAATGGAAGCAAATAAGGAGATAGTAAAATTTGAATTTTGAAACAATTTACTGGCGGATTATTTCAGAAAACTGTTGAAGAAAAGGAAAGAAGAAAAGTCAAGAACGATAGAAGGAATCAAAAATTAAAAGCAACAAAATGAAGAAGGAATACATGCAAAGAGGAAAACAATTGAAAAGCAGGCGACGAAATGACTGCGTTAAAACGAAGGACAAATAGTCGAAAGATGGCTAAGTTTGACAGACGCGTCGACACTCACAACTTCAGGGACTCTTAGAATTACCAAAACGAAAAAGACAAACCAATATCAACCGGAATCGTAAGCAAGGATGATCCGAAAAAAGAATATGAATGTGTTGTTAGCGAAAGCGAAGATGTGTTTCATCACACTGGCTCAGGTGTTTGTAACCTGTGACAAGTGGGCCGTTTCCCGCGTAAAGACGACGTTTCACATCTCCTCTCCGACAAGTGATTCATTGTTCCTGAGTCAATGAATTGTCGCGCGAAAGATGTGCAATGTAAGCTCGCGAAGTAGTAGTAGTAGTATTACTACTACTAATAATACTACTACTACTAATAATAATAATAACAACAAAGCTTAACACAATAATACGATTGAAAATTTAAAATGGAAAAATATGGCGGTATTTCGGAGTAAGGAACACATTGCCAATGC